AGATGATTGTTGTCCTGTTGAATTCAGAGGTTTTTGCGCAACATTAGCAGTAGAGGTAACAATATTTGAGTCAGTATCGTCATTTGTATCTTTGTTAGTAGATTGAGAGAGTTCTTTAGAATGTTTTTGATCAAGATTTTTAGGTGACGTTAATTCCAAACTCTGATTTGCAGTAGATGGAATAGATGATTTATTATTTTGGTCAGGTGTAGAAGATTTCTTTTCCAAGACTTTTTGATCTTTTTGATCTTTCTGATCTTTTCGATCTTTTTGATCTTGTTGATCTTGTTGAACTTTCTTAGTAGATTCACCAACCTTTTGTTTTTGATCTAAATTGCTAGAAGACTGCTTTTGATCAGTATGTTGCGATGACTTTTCTTGACCTGTAAGCTGTGATGGCTTTTGTGATTGAATAGATAATTGTTCAGAACCTTGTATTGATTTAGGAGATTTAGAAATTGGAGAAGATTTTTCACCCTGTTGAGGTGAAATTGGTTGTTTATCAACTTTCTGCAGTGTAATTATGGGTAATTGAGAATTAAAACTTTGCGATGATTTGAATTTTCTGGAATTTTCACTAAAACTACTAAAACTACTAAAACTAGAAGCCCTCTTTTTTTCTAAACGACTTTGTGAAAAAGACTGTTTACATCCATTACGATTTTGTGAAGGCGACTGTTGCTGTAAATTAGATGAAGGATCACCGCAATACATACTGTGACGATGAGATCCCATATTAGCGTTGTTACGTACATTTCCTTGTGATAGGATACGTTGGGAATTCCCAGAACCATTTTGATGTAACACCTCAAAAGTAGGAAGGCGAGAAGATTTTTGCGAATGTGAAGGTAAAAATTTTTTTGCTAATGAAACACTTTCGTCATCATATCCTAAGGAATTCAATTTTGACACATTTTGTTCGCTTTGGTAATTCGCTACAGACACGGCCATTTATGAATGTCGGTGAAGGGCGAAGAAAATGTTACACTGTCAATGGAAATATTCTAAATGAAAGCTTTTAGAAAATTTATTTGTTAGAATTTCAAATTTATACGCACAATAGAAAAGACTTGAAAAAGTTGAATAATTCTAACCTCAGGCTTGACCAAAACATGCACAATCTTTAGTTTAGCTTCTTACTTAAACTTCTTAAACTTGGTTAAGAACCACCTAAACGTTCGAGACAAACTAATAATGGTTTATTATACTAAAATTCTATTATTACATTAAAAATTTAATGAATTTCAGCTAAAATCAAGCGGAGTCAGCTCGTTACTTCAACTTGGTCAACAACGCATCTATGAGCGTATAATAAGTGATTAAAATAATGCTTAAGAATTGTGATGACAAAAGGTTAAAGGTTCTTAAAAAAGTAAAAGAAGAATATGACTAAAGTAAAGAGGAAGAAAGAAAGCGAAGAAAGAGAAGACACGAATCCTTGTCGTTATTAATACATTTATTTGTATCTTGTCTCTCCGTCACCGTAATAATAATGCACAATGTTTAACACACATTTTTGAGGTATCACTAATACCGAAAAAACATTGTGGCGTTAGTACGTATCAAAATAATGGCAAAGTTGAATTCATATAAAAATCTAAATTTTAAAGATAAAGTTGCATTATCCTGTACGTAACATACTAAGTATTGAAAGCTGTAAGCTCTTAAGGTAAAATTGACTTTTTTTACGTACGTACGTAAGTACTTACGTAGGTTTTGCTATAAAAAAGATCTACAGAAATTCAAAGTATATACGTATGTATATTTAGACTGTATATTTAGACATAATTAATTTCTATATATATATATTATAAATAAAAGATAACTAAGATTTTTTAAGAATAGATACCCGGACAAATAATAAAATTTATTGCGCAAGTGTAACTTGCATATTTCACGTGGTTGTAGATTTTTGGTGATAACAGATAATTGGCGTGAATTTCTGCTATAAACGTATATATATAATAATAAATAACCAAAAATTGAGGTCGTGGACCATCCAGTTTACCAACACTGTGGTTGCCAAGTGTTTTGCGTCACATGTAAATAGATAGTTGTTGATTAATCCTAAAGTTGATTTAAATTCACATCCGATGCATAAATCTAGTTTAAATTTAATAATATATAGTTTAATCGAAGACGTTATTAGTGAGAACTCAGATAAATGAATTTCAGCGATATATAAACTTGGAATTTGCTGAATCCTTATTAAGATACGATCGTTTTTTAAACCTTTGAAATTTTACTTTTAATAGCAGTTTATATAGATTAATAATACCCGAGTATAATTTTTTTTAACTAGGGATGTTATGTGGTTTAGTCTTAGACTAATGGACCACAGTTAGTCTTAAGACCAGTTTAAACTCGAAAAAAATTGGTCTGCTCTAAGTCTTAAGACCGGACCAGTCTGGACTGGTCTGGATTAACAAAGTCTTAAGAATAGAGACCATAATAGACCAGAACCATAATAGACCAGAACCAAAATAGACCAGGCCAGACCAGACAAAACTGTTAGCATCCCTATTTATAACATCTAATAATTTACTATTAAAAACCAAATGTAGTCTTTGCCTTGAAAATCACCTTCCGACATTTCCGATCGGGTTAAGGCCACTTCAAATTGATTCTTTGTTTAACATAACATTAAATACGTAATTCATAAGAGTGGGTTGATTCAATAGTTTATCGAATAACTATTGAATCAAT